TTTTTTTATTTTGATTAGTGAAATTAAGGAAGTAATACGTAACTTGGCGTGGTTATCTGCTCGGCCAGAAGCAGCCATGGCGTAATTATTCTATTTCCTTGTAATGAATATATATATATATATATATATATATATATAGTGAATATCTGAGCCTCTTTGCAGTAGCTTTGAAATGGGCATTACACATTGATTTTTTCTGATTTTGAAATGGCTTTTGAGATGGCATATCCTGATATTGGAGGACCACCTCAAGTGACAATTCTGAAGATTCAAAGAAATTAAATTGGGGCAGTGACTAATTCATTGGGCTGAAGCTATTATGAAATTGGGGCAGTGTTGTAATTCAGGCAGTGGCAGTATCAGTTGTTTGTCAGTACACTTTTGTCCATAAGTGCATGTATATGTTTCTGGTTTAGATTTAATGTGGATGTGCCATGTGTATCCAAGTAATCTTAGCCATACGATCAGAATTTTTGGCGGGAAAATTGATGAGTGCAATTGGAGCTGATTTTTCCATCAGCTTTTATATATATATATATATATAGTAGATGCATCAACATTTATTGCTAGTGTACTAGTTTACAATATCACAAAATGCCAAAATGTTTGTGTAAAAGTTTTATATTACACTTGCGCCTTATGCCTGAACCGTAAAAATATTACTCCAATTAACGTATTATAAACACAATTCTGTTTCATACTCTTTAAGTTTCTACAAAAACGGTTCTCTTGAGACCACAGCAAACGCCACATATTTCTTTTAAGATTTAAGTTCACCCAACTTATACAGTACTACTCTCCTTGCTCGAATTAATTAACTATTCCATCTTTATTTTATATTTTAAAAGAAAAAACTCTTGCAAAAAGTAAGTTTAAAATGTCAAAAAAAAATCTTATGTTTCTCACTTATTCATGTTTAAAATTGATAGCTGAATATAGAGCAAAGAGACGAATAACAATGAGAGACCATAGAAAGCAAACACATAATAGTTTTTTTTCCCAGTGCAACAATGTGTCTAATTAGAGTAGTGTATTCACAAATTAATTAAGAAGATCCGCCATGGCTGCTTCCTGAAACCAGGTTACAACCCATACCAACTTATTAATTATTTTTATTATTATCGAATCCGACAAGGGAAGAAGAAGAAGGGAGAGACGCTCACGCAATAATAAGGCATACAAGTTACAGAGTATTCTTCTTCTTTTGGAGGCAACCTTTTGTTGCCTCTCGTCATCTCTCTCTCACCCCATAGCGTACTTCTGTGTCCAGCTCCGGGCAGTGGTCTCGTACTTGGACCTGTCGGTCTTGTACATGTGAGCAATTTCGGGCACGAGCGGGTCGTCTGGGTTTGGGTCCGTCAACAGTGAACAGATGGACAAGAGGACCTGAAAAAGAAGTGTTATGTAGGGCCACAAAACTAATGTTTTTAGCATTACTGCTATTAAGAGTACGAGAGCTACACAGAAAAATAACAATACGGTAGTAGCAATGTCAACATCATTTATCAGAAATCAGTGGATGAATCAACACTTATTGTTATTAGACCGGAGAGGGTGGGGACTTGGTGTTTACTTAGATGTTAATTCAATAGTTCAGATTTTAGGTGCTTATAGTATGAATGGTAAGTCCCTATATCATACTCCCTCCTCTTTGTCTTCCAACTTTCCTATTTGGGCTGTCCTTTTATCTTTCTTCTCACTGCCCAAAAATGGCAACAAAATAGCAAAATGTCACTTTTACCCTTATTCAACCCTCCTATTTACTACCCCTTATTATTTTCCCAATCTGGTTTGTTTCCCAACCTGCAGATCTGATCGGTCTTCTTCTTCCTCAAATTGTCAACTCTTTTCCTTCTCCAAATCACAGCTCGGCAACCACCCCTCACCTTGGTGTTCTCCAGCTAGTATCAGTCGCAACCCCCCCCCCCCACTCCACACTGGTTTTTCTGGCGATGGTCTTCAGATTGCTCGGCAAGCGCAAGAATGAGTTGCTGAAATTGAACCCCTCAATGCTGAACTGGTATGATTATCCAGATTATGGGGAAAGTTGGAGATTGGGTCTGGAGGGATGTTCACCGGATTCAGAAGGCAGACATATCAGGTGTCGAATACAGAAAAGAAAAAGATCCAACACCACCGCCTCACTCACCTTCTTCTCGGCCACCACTGCTGGCTCCAATAGCTTTTCTAATATGTACATATGCTGGGCCGAAAAGAATGACCAGCACTCGGAAAGAGAGGGGATTGTGATATCGACAGGAACAGTTTCACATAGCAACGAGCGGCATCTCCTACACCGCAATATGCAGTGTCCAATAGCAGCAAAAGTGGTCGGAGAAGAGAGGGGTTCAAGTGGGACAAAGTCAAAAAGAGCAAAGTTGGAAATTCGACAACTTTATCATTTTACATAAAGTCAAAAATCTCTTAGGAATGCCCATACAAAACAAAAAGAAAAATCTAGCCCGCAAAAACTTGATTGTTTCTACCTTCACGAAAGAGAAACCTTGTTTATTTTAAAAATATTTATACAAACAGTATTCTGAACATTCAAGATAAAAGCCAGAGGAAGAAGAGCAAACCTTGGAAATAGTCAAGGCTGGACTCCACTGCTCTTTAAGGATATCAAGGCAGATACTGCCATTGCTATTGATGTTTGGGTGGAAGACCTTAGTTCGAAAAGCAACCTGAAAGAGTATAATGGAAGTCAATTGCCTGAACCCACCAACACAAAATTCTACAAGCAAATGAGGAAGTCATATAAAATCAGCATTTGACAATTTGGTTCCTGGGTAATCTCACAGAGCATTAGATAGAGGCAATGAAAATCAATGGAGTATAGTAAAATAATAAGATTCAATCAATTAATGCTTCCAGGGATCAGATGGTTTCTAGATATCGTATTCTTAAATATTGCCCCTTTAACTCTGCAATCAATTTATCATCAAAATGTTGTGATTGATTTTGAATAAGGATTTCCATTAGCAGCATTCTATATTACCACACAAGCAGTAAGTACAACTTGAGGTTCATTAAAATGTGTAAAGTATATTTTAGAATGCCATGGGAAGTACAATGGATCACAAACATAAGTTTCAGAAAATTTTAGCTTTTATTTGTATAATTACAAGCAAAGATGGAAAGTAATACTATCAAGGCAAGAGGGATAAACAAAACTTAAGCAATGACTTATTTTTATTGGTGTAAAGACAGAGTTAGTGCAATTCAGCAATCAGGTGAAATCATATCACCACAACTCAAATGGTTTCAGAACTTGAGATGTGCTAGGGAGAGATTTTGATATTGAAGGCAGAATGTAGCTAGCTTGGTAATCAATGTTATTTAGATGTGTAGCTTTTGTGGGGTCTCAACTATTTGGACTAAGAAACATTTTTCTTGGGTGTTTCTTTGATATTTTTGTGTCTTCACTTTCTTTTTTCTAGATTGGTTTTTGTTTGTTCTTCCGCCTTTTTGCAATTTCGATCTTTTTCTGAAAATGATACTTTTCTCTGAACAAGTTTGTATGTGAATTACTTATTATTTGCTTTCATAAATTTGTATTTACATTTTCAAAAAATTATTCTTTGTGTGCTGCTTCAACATTTCTCCACCATCTCTTCACCAAAGATACTCTTAACCATAGTCACATAAATCGCTGTACGTTTCGGTACGGGTACGTGGTACGGGTACGAAATTCGCTAGAGGTAACGAATTCGGTACGAAGGGGGGTAGGTTCATTTCGGTACGAAGCGGTACGAAGTGGTACGGTGTACCATGTATTCGGTTCGGCGTACCAAAAGTCAAAACATAAGTAAACAAAAATAGATAAAAATAAGTATAATATTTAATTGTGAATTGAATTTTAAATTAAATATTAAATGATGAGAATGGGAAAGAGAAATATTTAATTGGGAAAGTGGAACGTGCTTCGGAAGTGGAACATACTCAATTTACGAAGACTTGGGAAAGAGAAATCGTCGATAAGGGAAAGAGGCAAACTGGGAAGAGGAAGTGGACGTTGCTTTGCTGGGAAGAGGAAGTCGAGGAAGTCGCCACTGGTACGCTGTATCGCCGGAGATGGGTGCGATGTACCTAGGTATTTGGATCGCCGTACCATCGTGATTGGGATCGCCGTACCATCGCGATTGGGAGCGCCGTACCATCACGATTTGGATCGCCGTACTGGTTGCGATCGAATCGCCAGCGACTTGCGATTGGGTACGAATCGTACCAATACGGAAGTCGCGGCTCTGGGAGCGAATTCTGTGACTATGCTCTTAACATATAAATATTAAAAAATGTAGTAAAATTTTGGCCGTGCATTGCACAGGTTTGAAATCTAGTATTAAAAGAAAATAGATAGAAAATTCAAAAGGAAAAACTGGAAAATTAATTTTGAAAAATCAATAGACCAACTTTAGACAATAATTCGAGTCATTCTGTTTGAATTTCTATATTATAAACTCTCACCGTCCTAAATATGCTGTGACCAATTTTGAAAACTATATGCTTGAGATACATTCAAAGATTGAGAGGTGAGAAAAACAAAATAAAACGCATATTTCTTTCTAAAAATATATACTCCCTCCGTCACCTCTCGTTTTGTAGAACTTTTAATGTAATTTTTAAATATGTAAATTTTATCCTACCATCAAATAAATTGAATTGAAAATAAAGCCGGTCAAACCTCGTAAACACAAACGAGAAGATGGTTTTAGGACGGAGGGAGTAGTATTCACAATAAATGGGGGCATGCAAAAAACAACAAAACAAATTGGGATGGAGCAAGTATAAGGCTAAGAAAAGAAATATATATTATAAGTAAACATTTAAGAAGTTCAAATCAGATTTCATTTTCCCAAGTATTTTCCACTAAAAACGAAAGATCAAGAGATTTATTTTTGTACGTCTTTTTTATTTCCTTTGCTACCATCTTCAAGTTCTAACTATAGCACAAGTGAAAGCACATTTATCCTCCCTTCTGATTCAACACTCCACCCCAATACAACCAGAGTAATGTCGTAAGGGTATAAGATCATGTTGGTATACCTTAGGAGGTTTAAAGGGGTAATCAGGAGGGAAGTGAATTGAAACCAAGAACACGCCTCCGGCGTAAGGGCTATCTGTCGGCCCCATAATTGTTGCCTGCCAGTGGAACATATCCTCCGCAACAGGACCTGCAACAAACACAATACAGAAGAGAGGATACAATAAAAAAACAAGTGGTTTTTGCTTTAAACACTTGCATCTAACTCATGAATCAAAAGACAAAATACTGTAAACCAAAACTTCAAACCATACCGGCGCTGCATGATGTCGGCGGGTCCTTCTGCAGATCCTTGAGCTCCTTCAGTATGCGTTTCGATGCCATAACTTTAAATCACCAAAGATCTACAGAGTACTTCTTGGATAACTCCCCACTTTTAAAAAGAAAACGAAAACAAAACCGAACAAAATCAAGAACTGGAAAGATAGACAAAACCTACCGGTCAACGAGATTTCTAAATCTAAACCCTAACAAAAGTTAAACAACAGTTCTCGAGATCTACTACGCACGTCACACAATAAACACAAGAAAAAAAACTCCAACTTCCAGATTCAGATTTGAGCGGGTTACCTGACGGCGGAATAAAGGCGACCGGCGGAGCTTACGGCGGAGGCTGCTGTGATCGCTAGGGATAAGAGTAAACCAAAAGCAATGGGGGCAAATACGCAGGGATTGGGGGTTTTAAATGTCAGCGTGTGGGCCCACGAACGTGTTGTAAAGAGGTCATAATTGGCGTACAATCAACGGCAATATTATTGGGCATTTGCCCATTTATTTAAACGAATAATCTGTTATGGGCTCGGATTCTTGATCAGTTTCGGAGTATTTGCCCATTCTCATCTATTTGGGCTGGAATCCGATACCAAAACCCATGGACGGACCGACGTTTTAGTATCTTTCAATTATTTTATGAAATAATTTAGAGTAAATTCCATAAAAGGTCCCCAGTTATAAGTCGTTTTACATATTTAGTCCCTACATATCAAATATTACTAATTTGGTCCCCAATTATTATATTTATTTCTACGAATGATCCTTTGTTAACATTTTCATTAAAAAGTGGATAAAATTATAAATTCACACTCCTTTCTCTCCTCAATTAAGCATTCTCCTCCCTTGTACTCCTTTCTCAAACTCGTCGCTGAGTTTCTAGCTTTGAACACTAAACCAAAATCATCACTCTTCTCTCAATTGTTTATCTAACTGGAGGAACGATCATTTAAATTTTGGGTTTAAGAGCTTCAAACCCAGCGACGAGTTTGGGAAAGAGTATGAGAAGATGAAGAAAGCTTAATTGAGGAGAGAGAGAAGTATGAATATACAATTTTATCCACGTTCTTAACGGAAATGTTAACAAAGGACCATTCGTGAAAATAAATATAATAATTGGGGACTAAATTAGTAATATTTGATATGTAAGGACTAAATATGTAAAACAACTTATAACTGGGGACCTTTTATATAATTTACTCAATAATTTATTCTCTCCATCACATAAAATTATTTGATTCCACTTGTACAGAATTTAAAAAAAATTGAAAATGTATAGTTAGAAAACATTTATACGAAAGAAATGTTATGCGGTGTAGACCTGTGCAAACAAGGGTCGGCCCGTTCGGCCCGCCCAGCCCGCTCTTTAAAAAGGGTGGATATGGACAACCTTTAATATCCAAATGGGCGGGCCGGCCCAAGCCCGAATTGTATATGGGCGGATCTGGAAGTTACTTTTAGCCCATCTGGGCCAACAGGCCCGCCCATATTCATCAAATATTTTTGCTTTATTATTAATTACCTAGCCAATATAAATTTTAAAATTTTCTACAATTCATGTATAATAGTTTAATTCATTCACCTCTTTTAAACAAAAATCAATACTCTTTTAATGAATCAGTATGATGAGTTTTATTAATTATGCAACAATATCTCTATTATGCTTTCTATACAAATGTGGTGACTGGTTATTTTATTTTAAACATTAAAAAAGAGTTCAATGTCTTTTTTTTAAATTTTTTATACAAAATAAATTTTCTTGATGTTTTATCCGGGCTGGACGGCCCGGTGGACAGTCCGGCCCGCAAAGATGGGCGGGTATGGGTAAAGAATTTAGCCCATCAAATACGGGCCAGATAGGGATGGCAATTCAACCCGAACCCGAGCTTAACCGACCCGACCGACTACTAAAAAATCTGAACCCGAACCGAAAATAAAATAATCCGAACCCGACCCGAAATCTTTTACCCGAACCTGACATCGGGTCGGGTGTGGATTTATAATTTTGCCTGACCCGACCCGAACCCGCACCCGACCCGACTAAAACCCGAATACTTTATTACATAAAAGTCTATCTATGGATATAATGAGCACTCCGTATAATCTTTTGACACAAAAAAATTAGATTTAATCTTTTCAAAATTATTGGGGTTCGTCAAATTGATTATTGGTTAAAAGTCGGGTTCGGGTCGGATTCGGGTTTCTGGTTGAAATGTCGGGTTCGGGTCGGGTTGGATTTTTGGCTTAAAAGTCGGGTTTCGGGTCGGGTTCGGGTTTCGGTTTTAAAAGTCGGGTCGGGTTCGGGTATATTGCTATCTGACCCGAACCCGACTTGTTGCCATCCCTAGGGCGGGGCCAGACCCGCCCATGTAAATGGGCTAATAATTTATATCAAGCCAGGCCCAGATCCGGCCCGGATCTTTATTTGCACAGGTCTAATACGGTGCATATTCATTACTAAGATAAAAAATAAAATAAATATAAAACATTGTAAGTAAAATAAATATAAAACATTGTTTGGGAGGTTGAAAAACTAAACGTCTTAAGTGTTTTATATGGAGGAAAAAGTACATAAAGCTCTAATCTTTTTCAATTTCTTCCATATTTTTTTCAATTTTTTCTGATTTCTTCAGTTTCTCTAAATCTCTTTCAGTTCCTTCGAACTTCTTCTAACATTTTTCAAAAAAATGTGAAAGCCACATCTTTGTGGGCACTCTTAGAATAGGCTGGTTGGTCACCTGAGAGGAGCTAAATAAATCTTTAATCATATAATGTCTAGCAAAGAGTGAAGTTTGCACCTAGCTAGTAACTGCAGATGTCATATGCGTAACATAGATGTCTCATAACGCAATTGGCAGGAAATGAACTCATGTGTTACTGCATTAGAATTCCTTGTCTTGCCAACTGCGCTACGTACCACGACAAAAATACTATAAGTACATCAAAAGTGTAACTCATTTGTACATCATTAATCACCCCGCCTCACAATTCTTGCTATGGATATGAAGAGTGAAGAGTGGATAAGAAATGTGTGGTGTGAGACTGTCGTCGTTGTCATCCAGGGGTTTTCAAATCAAATCTTGCCATGAAATAGGATGTATCAGGATTTTAGAAGAGAGGCTGGAGCTCTGGATTGGGATAAAGCCCATGTTCGACCGGCTGCTGGGGCTGGAGCTCTAGATTGGGCTAAGGCCCATTTGGGCTGCAGATTCCGCGACGACAACTCCTGGAGACATATATTTTAAAGAGGGTGTATTCAATCCAGACTTTATAGGATTTTATTGGATTTAAAATGTTAGTAGGTATTCAATTGAAATTTCAAAAAGTTACTTAAAATATGAAGGTATTCAATTTAGATTTTAAAATGTTTATTGAAATCTGATGGTACTAAATAATTCATAGATTTTGAAAGATTTTTATTATAGATAGATTTTGATGGATTTGGCTGTTGTTTTTCTCTACAAAAATCTTCTCACAAATATCTTGTAACAACAGAGGATTTTAACAGACTTTGCTCATCCCTTCGCCTTTTCGCTACAGAGATTTTACGACCTTGGCCTTTGTAAGGATTTTCATCCCTCTTCAACACCTCTTGCTTGGACAGATCAGAAGCATAGGCAACGGAGGATGGTGGCGCCGGCCTAGGGTTTTGACCCTTCCCCTGGCCGCTCTTGCACGCCCTCACGACGGGGACAGAGCGGACTCGATGTGACTCGGCGCTGGCTCTTTACCATCTGACTCTGGTGCAAAGCAACCGATCGAAACTGATAAAGATGGGAGCTGCTGGCGCGCTGGTAGGGATGCTGAACGAGGGCGAATTGGCCGGTATAGTGGTTCTGGCGGTGTGTAATTTGGCGGTGTGTGTCGAGGGTAAGGCGGCTCTGTTGGACGCCCAAGCGGTGGAGACGAAAAATTGTTTCAAGTGTGTTGATGAATTTTTTGTTAATTTTATTAGGATTTGTTGACAAATTCCATTATATTTTTTTGTAAATGGAACAAATAAGAGACATTGTAAGTATGTGATGGGGTAGAGGATGAAGATCCTTGAAAACCTTTTCTAGCGAAAAGAGCCGAGATCTAATTTGGGAAATGTTTTTTTTTAAAACAAATCAGATAAAATCTTTTGAATTCCTATATCGTACAACCGGATGTACCTAGAGATAAGTATATCCGGTTATTACTCATTCTGAAGTGGAGTAGTACTCATTCTCGCACAAATATAACTATAATGTGGTACTCATTCTAAAATAATGTAGTACTCATTTTTACAAATTTATTCAATACAATTATAAAATTTATCTACAAATAACGTAATGTACATTCTGAAATAAAATAGTACTCATTCTTAAAAAACTTAATGTTCATTTTCAAATAAATAAAATCCATACCATAAATATATTTTTTTCTTTTTTCTCTCACACCTGCAGCCCTCTCCTTCGATCAGATCGATCGACTCCTCCAGGTGGGTTTGGGGGTTTTTCATACAGCGTCTCCCATCAAAGAAGGAATCGGCAGCCGGTTTCTTCCTCCAGATCTGACGCACATCAAAGAAGGAATCGGCCTATCAACATCTTCCTCCATCCACCGTGCACATCTCCCTTCCATACAACCGCTTTCTTCCTCCAGATCTGACGCAGCTCTCCTTCGGCGCAACTGCCTTCATCCGACCCGAACCTACTAGCTCCGCCGATCGACGCCATTTCTTCTTTGATTTGCCGGCTGTACCCAATTTTAGGTACAGCCAGTTGTTTGTATAATTTGCGAAATCTTTTAAAATCATGTCAATAAAATAAATTACAATTATCTAACTCTGTGTAGAATTAAAACAATCCATAAATTTTACATAATCCATGGGTTTAAAAAATCTTTCAAAATCTTTTAAAATCTAAATTGAATACACCCCCTAAATATTCAATATCATAAATATCAAAATTCATATCTTTTTTTCTCACCAAACCGCCCTAAAAAAGGGTACCAATTTGGAAAATTTCTAGTAAATACTGTAACACTGTCATTAGGGTCTCTCTATATAGTGTGCCAGAAAATATGTCCAACTTCCACCTTCAGCTACTACAATTTTCTAAATAAAATGCTGCACCAACACTTCTTGTCAAACGAACACAAGAAAAAGAAGATCATAATCAATCAGGTGTTGATAATTTTCTTCAGTAATAACAATAAGAGGTCAGGGATCCAGAAGGAGAAGATCAAGGGGTCTGCACATTTGAGTCCTTGGACTTGTTCTCTTCAGAAGAAGGCCGGTTTTCGGGGTCGGATTGCCGTACCTCTTCGACCATCCGAACAACGTCGTCCATGGCAGGCCTCATTTCGGGCACCCTTGTGACGCACGCCATTGCAATCTGAAGCATCTGAACCATCTCTTCTTCAACCTCTTGGAACCTCATCAGCTCCACATCAAACACCTCTGCAGTCCACTCTTCCCTCACCACAGACTGGACCCACTTTGGGAGATCAACCATGACGTCATCGCGTCCCGGGGATTGGACGGGCAGTTTCCCGGTCAGCATCTCCAGTAGCAGCACGCCGTAGCTGTACACGTCTGACTTGTGGGTGTGCTTTCGCGTTTCGATCACCTCAGGGGCACGGTACCCCGGGTGCCGAGACCGGGCTGCAGGGGCATTCACCAGAGGGGCTAACCCGAAATCAGAGACGCGTGCGTCGGAATCTTCTTGGTTGATGAGGACATTTGTGGATTTTATGTTTCCATGAGTGAGTTTGGGGCCACCCATGGAGTGGATATGGGCAATCCCCCTTGCCACTGCTAGGGCTATTTTAACTCTGGTTTCCCAGTCCAAGACAGTCCTCCCGGCAGCCTTATTTCCTGCTAAGAAGATGGAATGTTGAGTGACACTCTAGAAGAAGACATAATCAGTGTCAATCTTTGTTAATGGGGAGGAGATTGCACATTAAGTCCTCGATTGTTTGACGTTATGAGTTCCAGAGTTTGAAAATTTAGTCATCACGTGGTTATAATTGAGCCAATAAGATCACTAACGTTTAGTTTTAACGTTTATGAGGGAATTCTTTTAAATCCTAGCATTTCAATGATGTAAACACTGATTTTAACTGGAGATTATAGAGATCGAAGGGCTGAATTTAAATGCTCCAATTACATGATGCCAAACAATTGAGGTACTAAAACTGTGATCTTCCATTAATTTAGTTTTAAGGAGCCTACTTTGATATAGTTTTGAAACATCAAGATAGTGTTCCAATCAGAATGAAGGGTGTGAGTGAAAAAGAGTCAGTAAATCATACATACCATGCAGGAGCATTGCCAAATTGCCTCTTGAGAAATAATCATAGACTAGAAGCTTCTCATCCTTGGAGTAATAATAAGCACGCAAAGGAACGACATTTGGATGCTGTCCGATTCTCCCTATGATCTCCATCTGTTGTTCGAAGTCCCTTTTTCCAACGACGACTTCTTTGAGTCTCTTGACAACAACTGTTATAGACTCCTCTAGAATAGCCTTATACCCTGTCCCGCAGCTCCCTTTCCCAAGAACTTCCGCCGATGCCCTCAACAAGTCTTCAAGGTCAAAATTGTAGGAGCATCCTTCAAAGAAAACCAGCTTATTCTTCTCTGCCTCTTGCACCCCACTTCCAAATTCTTCGCGGGGTTTCTCACTCCTTCCTACGCCAGATGGCTTTCCTTTTAGTACACCCCTACCGTCACTTGCTTTTCTCTTCAGTAGAAGTATTAGAGCTACTAGAAAGATCACTGCGGCCCCACCAGCTACAGCAGCAATAATAATAATAATAAGTTTCTTTCTGTGTCTGTGTTCCTCAGAAGCATGTGGTAAAGGGGCATTGTGAGATGGGGGTGGTGGCCGAAGAGGGGAAGAGCAGGGAATTAAAGGCAATCCACATAAGAAAGAGTTTCCTACAAACGAAGAATGGGGAAACCTTCGAAGGAAGAATGGAATCGAGCCATTGAGATGGTTGTAACTAAAGTTCAAATGCTTTAGCCTTGGAAGTGTAATATTTGGTATAGGTCCAGATAGAGAGTTATTTTGGAGGTTCAATACAGTCAGTTGGGTCAAATTCTGAATCACTGAAGGAGGAATGCTACCACTGAAGGAATTATATGAGAGATCCAGAATGTTCAGCTGTTTGGAAAATGTTGGTATATGGCCAGATAAGTTGTTATGTTGGAGGAAGAGGTTACGGAGAGTGGGAAGCGAAGTAAGGTCAGAAGGAAGGGTTCCACTAATGAGATTGGATCGAAGACTCAGAATCCTCAAAGAATCTAATTTTCCAAGGGTGTTTTCAGGGATTTCACCGGCGAGTCCCACTCCCGGAAGCCGAATGGTTACAACATGGGCTCCATCTCCACTGCATTTAATGCCAACCCAAGATGAGCAGATAGGTGCCCCAGAATGCCAGTTAATCTTTCGACCGTGGTGAACGGAGGCAGCAAAGGCAAGAAGAGCTTCTTCATCTGACTTTAGATCACCAAGAGCCAGGGGCAGAATGGTCGTTGTAATAATAGCAAAAAGAAAGCATAGGAACTTGTAGGTGAAGAACGCTTTCATGAGGGAACTGTTTGTCATGCAAAGGAAAAGCTGGTGCGTGCACTGATACTTCCCTATTACAGTGCAGATAATAGAAGTGAATAACATGGTATTTTTAAAAAATTATATAAAAAAACATATACGCGAGAGAGAACATTGTGTTTTCAAGAAAACCAAGAATATAGTTATGCCAGTGATGAGATAGTGTATGAAGCCGAGCCATTTACGTATTGATTCAGCTTAGAGTGTCCACATTACAGAATGAAGTATTTAAAAGGCCAAAAACAGTAACTTGATATACTCTTTCTAGTCTCCAAATTGCAGAATGATGTCTATGTTAGAAAATAGGTGAAAGGGTGATCAGATAGTTTATTTAGATGTCCTTTTTTCTTCTATAAATAAAGTGTCATTTTATTATCAGGCAACATTTGTTAAAATCAAATCACAATGTATTAATGACAAAAACTCCTAAAGGTGTCTGTATGAGCCCATAAATGCTAGAAAAAGAAAATACGTGGAAAAATAGTTAGAGAAAATTAAAAATAGATTTAAACTCAATAATAATATTTTAGATATTCATTAGAACACGTTTTACTTATTCGTTCCTACTGCATAATGACTAAAAAATCTAAATGTGCATAGACTTTTTAGTTTAAAAACACAGTCATATTTCATTTTCCTTCTGTACTTTACAGCATAAGAAAAAAAAATTAAAACATAGTTTAATAATTCTTTCCCATTTCTTAACATTTTCTGAGATTAAAACATACGCATAATAGGAGCACATTTAGCTTTGGCATTGGCATAAAAAAGAAATAAACACTTAAATTTTGGATTGTTGCATATTCTGGTGACCTTTGTGACAGAAAAAGAGACTAGAAAAAAGTAGAATTCCAAAAATAATGTGCTGAATTTGAATTTATAAAATGTCTCTCTAGCTTCAGAAGTCAAAACATAAAAAAAAGAAAAAGAGTAGGGCCTATATGTTGCTCAAAAAGCTTTCAAATCACTAAAAAATAAATAAAGAACCCACATCCAAATGCAAAAGAACAACATGGAATGGAAAGGAAAAGGGAAATGCTTTCCAACAGCATTTACACCAAAGGCCATAAAAATGATTGTTCCAGAGACAAGTGGTTCCTAGTACAACCACTAGAGAAATGTACACACACAAAAGAATGAAAATAAAAATACAAAAGAAGAAGATCAGAACAAGGTGATAGGTGCCTATAGAGGACAAAAATGGAAGGAGAAAAAAAACAGCACATGAACACACAAGGCCATGTTGAAGTGGTGAAGTTCAGAGGCAAGAGAGCACAAATTTTCCTGAATAATTTTCAATTTTTGTCTGATCTACCAAACATTCAACTCCAAAGACAGCACAATTTCCCCATTGGTCTCCAGATTTTTCGCCCATGAATTTCACACAGAGACAATTCCAGAAAACAGGAAAGCAAAACAACCGACACTCAGATCTAGAATTTTTAAGGTACAGGTAGTTGAAACCGGGCCAATGAAATCAAAATTGAAGTGGCAGAAGCAAAAGAGGAGATCAATTCACCTGCAAGCTCTACAATGAAGAATGGGCATCTGGAGGGCTGAAATTCGTGCGGCGGAGCGCCACCGGATCGGGAACGAGAAGGGATTTCTCCGGGGACATGTCGATTAACTGGCAGTTCTGAGTGGAGGAAGAGTCCAGGCCGCCGACAAATGTGGTTCTGAGCTAAAACAAAAACGAAATTACTGGTCAGGTACAGAGCTAGAAAGAACGGTTGGTTTGGTGTGAAGAGAGAATAGAAAGTGCAGAGAGAGAGAGAGAGAGAGAGAGAGAGAGATGGGACAGTGAGTCAGTGTATGAGAGTGAGGAGCTTATTGGGGTGAGCTGTCTTTGGCTTCTCTTCTTTCTTTCATGCTTAAGTCTTCAACCACCAGAGAGAGAGAGAATATTGTAATAAATGTTGTGAAAAGAAAATGGTTGTGTTTGGGATGGTCATTTTCTAATGCAATGAAACCTATTGATGACAAATCATGAATAAAAAAAAGTGCTCCCTCTGAGCCAAAATGATCTTCATGTTTGTGTTTACGAGGTTTGATCGACTTTATTTTCAATTCAATTTATATGATTATAGGTGTAAAATTAAAAAATAAAATTTATATATTTAAAAACTACATCAAAGGTTCTACAAAACAAGAGGTGACAAGACTATATTATTTTATCAAATAACTAGCGAAAATAGGTAAAGAAAGTGATTTAAGTTTGACCGTGTGAATAGTAACTGGGAAGATAGTTTTAAGACGGAGAAAGTATGAATTCTGCTCCCCCAGTTTCCAAAATACAAGTATCACACCTGTGCGTTGCACGGGTCATATTTACGTTACTAAATTAAGATCATTTTTGAATGATAGAAGATGATATTTAATAGAATATAGAGATTTTATTATTGTAAGGTGCAAAAGTTTTTTTCTTTACTAATTTCGAAAGACTTTTTTATAAACTACATTATCCATACAATTTTAAATAATATTATTTTCATTGCATATTAGAATCTTCAAATCACTACGATTTGTTACTCTTGAAACTACAACATACAGTTGCGAAAGTTTTTGCAATTGACCCTATTTATACTATGAATAACTTTTTGCTTATTCTAATTTCCTTTTGAGATTTTTTTGAATTACAATGTGTATAACACAATTTTTTGCTTATTCTATTCCTTATAGCGGTTAATTTTTTCAACATTTGGTTACCGCTTTTATACACACGCTGCATCTTAATTTATAAATATACATTACGTTTTTGGTGTTACTTACCATTTCAACATTTTAATTTATTACACACCTTTATGGTTTTACTTATCATTTCAAAATTTTATTTTATTACACACATAATAAAATATGGAAATTCTTTTATTTATTTCATAGGTACTTACAATGTATTTACTATTCATTCTTACCAAAATCGTGTATAAGGAAATTATTTTATTTAAAATCATTTTATTTAAAATACGTATGAAGTTAAAATGAAACACAATACCGTGTTAATTAATTTTTTTAAAACATTGTATGTAAATTTAATATTTCTTTAATTGCATTTTTATACACACGTTACATCTTAATTTATAAATATTAATTACGTTTTTTTGTGTTACTTACCATTCCAACATTTTATTTTATTACAAACCTTTTTGGTGTTACCATTCCTGTGTTTTTAATTACATCTTAATTTATAAATATAAATTATGTTTTTGGTGTTTCTTACTGAAGAATTATTATTTTCTATTGAGAAATAATGAGGGAGAAGCCTCGTATAAATAGTTACAGAGGATTCCTAATTACGTAAGGAAACCTATACATGTAAACTACCATAATTACAATAATCACATAATTCATATTAAATATATACTTAACATATTTAACATGCACCCAACTACGTGACCGGCGAAGGACGGACGCCAAGACTATGTCTGAAGTCGGAGAAGAGAAGAGATGGAAGCCCTTTAGTGAAAATATCTGCATACTGAGAAGAGGAGGGGACATGTAATACTCTGACATGTCCTAGGGCAACCTTGTCTTTGACAAAGTGGATGTCGACTTTTACGTGTTTGGTGCGCTGATGCTGTACTGGGTTTGATGACAGATACACAGCACTGACATTGTCGCAAAAGACTAATGTGGCACGCCGCAGGGGTTGTTGAAGCTCAAGGAGAAGATTTCGGACCCAGCTTGCCTCAGCTACGGTGTTTGCCACGGCACGATACTCGGCCTCAGCACTGGAGCGGAAGGTGGTGGCCTGGCGCTTGGAGGACCATGAGATGAGGTTGTCTCCAAGGAAGACACAGTACCCCGAGGTGGAGCGACGAGTATCGGGGCATCCAGCCCAATCAGCATCGGAGTAGGCCTGCAAAGAATCTGTGACCGTACGGTGAAGTGTGATGCCATGAGTGGCAGTCCCATGAATGTAACGTAGAACCCTCTTCATAGCTGTGAGATGGGTGCTCCGGGGGGCATGAAGATGTAGGCAGAGCTGCTGGACTGCATAAGTAAGATCAGGCCAAGTGAAAGTAAGATACTGTAAGGCGCCGACGATGGATCTGTATATGGAGGGGTCCGGAAGTAGAGTTCCGGATGTGGCTGACAGCTTTGCTTTGGTGTCGACTGGCGTAGAGATGGGCTTGCAGTGGAGCATGTCAGCACGTTCCAGGATTTCATGAGCAAACTCTGTTGCGCTGAACATTGATCCCAAGGAAAAAATTAAGGTCCCCCATATCTGTCATGGCGAACTCTCCCTTAAGTTTCTGAGTAAGGCGGGTGAGAAGAGCAGTGGAGGAGGCTGTGAGAACTATGTCGTCCACATAAAGAAGAAGATAAGCCATGTCAGAACCATGAGAGTACACAAATAGGGACGTGTCACTTTTGCAGCCCCGAAAGCCCAAAGTGAGAAGGAAACCTGCAAACCGATGATACCAAGAACGCGGGGCCTGCTTGAGCCCATATAGAGCCTTCTTCAACCTGCACACAAAATGTGGGCGAGCGGGATCCTGAAAACCTGAAGGCTGGCAGGCATAGACTGTCTCATTGAGTGTACCATTCAGAAAAGCATTCTTGACATCTAGCTGATGAATCGGCCAGCCGCGAAATAAAGCAAGAGTGAGAACAATCCGAACCGTTGCTGGTTTAACAACAGGACTAAATGTCTCGTCTTAGTCGATGCCATAGCGCTGATTAAATCCACGGACCACCCATCGAGCTTTATACCTGGACAGTTCACCTGTAGGACCAAATTTGTGGCGAAAAAGCCACTTGCCAGTGATAATATTTTGTGAGGGGGAGGGGGGGTACTAATTCTCATGTTTCGTTTTTAATCAAGGCATTAAATTCATCACACATAGCATTGTACCAGTTTTGATCCTTTAGTGCACTACGATAGGTGGGTGGGAGTGGGGAAATTTGGGCCATGGAGTTAAGGTTAAGGATATGTTTGGGCTTGGATATGCCGACTTTGGACCGGGTGACCATAGGGTGAGTGGTAGTGGGATTGGGTTGGGGGGGCTGCTGG